TATTTTGTTGGTTATTTAACCCTAGTTGTATTTTGTTGGTGAGTTTTGTAAATTCGGCGTTGCGGTTGGCGGTGCCCGGAGACGTAGGCTATTTTCGCCGAACTCCGTTATCAATTTTTGTGTTCTTCTTTTCTTCCCGTCTTTTATTTATTTGTGTTGGCTTATTTTTGTTTGAAGTAGTGTTCGCTATATTCGTTGGAGTGGTATTTTTGTCCGTTGCGCTTGTTGTGATACCCCAACAAGTGGTATCAGAGACGAAGGTTCGTCCCAGGCTCATTTGGAGAGGCGAGCACTGCATTCGGGTCTGATATGTCCAAGGAGGTCAAGGGCGCATCATCCTCTGCATTCATTCCGGCAAGGACGGTGATGCCGAACATCAGACTCCCGGTGGAGATCTTCGACGGGACCGGTCATTTCGGCATGTGGCAAGGCGAGGTGCTGGATTGTCTATTTCAGCAAGGCGTCGACATTGCGATTGAAGAAAAGATGCCAACAGACGTTGAAGAGAAGGACTGGAAGAATATCAACCGCTTAGCATGTGGAACAGTTCGTTCATGTTTGTCGAGGGAGTAGAAGTACGCGTTCAAGAATGAGAACTCTGCTCACACTTTGTGGAAGGCTTTGGAGGATGAATTTCTGAAGAAAAGCGGCCAGAATAAGCTCCTCATGAAGAAGCGATTGTTCCGTTTCGAGTACCGGCATGGCACATCGATGAATGACCACGTCACTGCATTCAATCAGTTGGTTGCAGATTTGTTGAATTTGGACGTCACATTCAGCGATGAAGATTTGGCTCTAATGTTGTTATCATCACTTCCAGACGATTTCGAGCACTTAGAGACTACTCTGCTCCATGGGAAGAACGATGTAACTCTTGCAGTGGTCAGTTCTGCTCTGTATAGCTATGAGTTGAGAAAGAAGAACAAACAAGAGACGAAGAATGCAGCAGCAGAAGATGAAGCGTTAGTTGCAAGAGGTCGGTCGAAGAGCCAAAAGAAGAATGGACGAGGAAGATCACGTTCCAAAGCCAAGCTTGAAAAAGACGAGTGTGCTTTCTGCCATGAGAAGGGACACTAGAAGAAAGACTGTCCTAAGTTGAAGAAGAAGGGCAAATCTCCTCAAGATGCATATGTTGTTGAGTGTGGAAGTGAAGACTCAGAATTTTCACTTGTGGTTTCACCTTCATCATCTCATCCAGACGAATGGATTTTGGATTCAGGATGCACCTACCATATGTCTCCCATTAGGGAGTGGTTCTTCAATTTTCAGGAGACCAATGGAGGGGTTGTCTATATGGGTAATGATAATACTTGTAAGACAATTGGGATAGGTTCAATCCGTTTGAAGAATCGCGATGGTTCCACCAGAGTTTTGACGGATGTTCGGTACGTGCCGAGTTTGAAGAAAAACCTCATCTCATTAGGAGCCTTGGAATCCAAAGGCTTGGTAGTGACTTTGCGAGATGGAGTTATGAAAGCTACATCCGGCTCGCTCGTGGTGATGAAAGGCATCGGGAGGAATAATTTGTATTACTATGAAGGTGATACAGTCGTTGGGACAGTAACAGTAGCAGATTCCACCAACAAGGAGTCTGAAGCAGTCAAGTTGTGGCATATGCGTTTGGGACATGCTGGTGAAAAGTCCTTGCAAACATTGGCAAAACAAGGACTGTTGAAAGATGTCAAAGTGTGCAAACTAGACTTTTGTGAGCACTGTGTTCTGGGAAAGCAGAAGAGAGTGAAGTTTGGAATGGCTATCCATAATATCGAAGGTGTCTTGGATTATGTTCATTCGGACGTGTGGGGACCTTCTAAGACCCCATCATTAGGCGGAAGACGCTATTTTGTCACTTTCATCGATGACTTTTCCAGACGTGTTTGGGTGTACACTATGAAGACGAAGGATGAAGTGCTTGGTGTCTTTATTACATGGAAGACACAAATTGAGAATCAGGCTGGAAGGAAGATCAAGGTCCTACGAACGGACAATGGTGGAGAATATACAAGTGATCCCTTTCAAGAAGTTTGCCGTAAAAATGGCATTGTTAGGCACTTCACCGTTAGACGGACACCACAACAAAATGGGGTGGCGGAGCGCATGGATCGAACATTGGTGGAGAAAGTTCGATGTATGTTGTCCAATGCTGGTTTGGGCAAGGAGTACTGGGCTGAGGCTGTAACATACGCGCAACACCTCATAAATCGTTTGCCGTCATCTGCAAAAGATGGTAAAACACCGTTGGAGGTATGGTCGGGGAAACCTGATTCTGACTATGGGCTTTACATGTCTTTGGGTGTCCTACGTTCTATCATGTGAACGATTCAAAGTTAGATCCAAGAGCGAAAAAGGCTTTGTTCATGGGAATCACAATTGGCGTGAAGGGATATCGTCTTTTGGGTCTTGAGACGAACAAAACTGTGTTTAGCAGGGATATTACATTTGATGAACAAAGTATGATAAATACGACGCAAACCCAACAGGTGGAGTTGACACCGAAGCAGGTGGAGATAGATGCGATGACGAGACAACCAGCTATGATTGACGAAACAATATCAAACGATTCGTCGGATGATGAAGTTCAGACTCATGAATCATTAGATTTACCCATTGCATTGAGAAAGCCCAGACGAGAGATTCAATAACCTGCTCGATTGGCGGATATGGTGGCTTATGCACTTCCAATTGTTGATGATGACATACCTTTCACTTTTCAAGATGCAATTCGAAGTTTAGAAAATGAGAAGTGGAAATGGGCTATAGAGGAAGAAATGTTGTCTCTTCAGAAGAATCAAACTTGGAAGGTGACGCAACTACCAAAAGGCAAGAGGGCGATAGGATTCAAGTGGGTATTTGCAAAGAAAGATGGATTTCCTCAGAATAATGATGTGCGCTATAAGGCAAGGTTGGTGGCTAAAGGTTACGCTCAGAAGGAAGGAGTTGATTATAATGAAGTGTTTTCTCCAGTTGTTAAACACTCTTCCATTAGAATTTTGTTGGCCTTAGCAGCACAGTTAGATTTAGAGCTAGTTCAACTTGACGTGAAGACGGCGTTCTTACACAGAGATTTAGATGAGGAAATCTACATGACTCAGCCAGAAAGATTCAAAATTCTTGGAAAAGAGAATTGGGTCTGTAAGTTGAACAAATCGTTGTACGGACTGAAGCAATCTCCGAGGCAGTTACAAACGGTTTGATAAGTTTATGATTGGGCAGAAGTACACGCGAAGCAGACATGATCATTGTGTGTATTTACGCAAGCTGCAAGATGGATCTTTCATTTACTTACTCTTGTATGTGGATGACATGTTGGTTGCATCAAAGAGCCAAATGGAGATTGATCAATTGAAGGCTCAGTTGAATCAAGAGTTTGAGATGAAAGACTTGGGAGAAGCTAAGAAGATTCTCGGGATGGAGATAAGCAGGGACAGAGTGAGAGGCAAGCTTTGTTTGACTCAGAAGCAATATCTGAATAAGGTACTACAGCGTTTCGGCATAAAAGATGAGTCGAAGCCAGTAAGTACACCACTTGCCCCTCATTTGAAGTTAAGTGCCCAGTTATCGTCAAATTGTGATGAAGAACGAGAGTACATGACTAGAGTCCCATATGCAAATGCAGTTGGCAGTTTGATGTATGCGATGGTGTGTACAAGGCCCGACATTTCACAAGCAGTTGGTGTTGTTAGCAGGTATATGCACGACCCTGGGAAAGGTCATTGGCAAGCTGTGAAATGGATTCTACGATACATTCATAGTATTGTAGACGTTGGATTGGTTTATGAGCAGAATGAATTTGGTCAGTGTGTAGTTGGATATTGTGATTCTGACTACGCGGGTGATTTGGATAAGCGAAGATCAACGACTGGATATTTGTTCACTTTTGCAAAAGCTCCAGTCAGTTGGAAGTCTACCTTACAGTCAACAGTTGCTTTGTCTACAACAGAGGCAGAGTATATGGCGGTTACTGAAGCTGTGAATGAGGCTATTTGGCTTCAAAGTTTGCTTGAAGACTTGGGAGTTGGTCAAAAGCACGTCTTAGTGCATTGTGACAGTCAGGGCGCTATTCACTTAGCGAAAAATCAAGTATTTCATGCAAGAACGAAGCATATTGATGTTCGCTATCACTTTGTGCGGGAGATTCTAGAAGATGGAACTGTTGTGTTGAAGAAGATCAAGACGACGGAGAATCCTGCAGATATGATGACCAAGATAGTGGCAGAAGTCAAGTTTGAACATTGTTTAAACTTGACCAACATTCTGCATATTTGAGTTGGCGCCGAGAGGCGCATTGCTAGCAGTTGAGTTGGAAGTGGAAGCAAAAATTAGTCAAGGTGGAGAATTGGTAGGATCAACAATTCAAAACCCAGTTCTCCATCAAACCCAACATGCAAGCCTAAATGGGGTTCCACTCTAAAACCAATTGGCAATAGAGGGAGTAGTCCACTAAGCTTATATATTGACTTGGAAACCATTAATTTTCCAATGTGGGATTGGGTTTGCACACCCAACAGTTGGCACTAAATTTTCATATGCATGAACATTAATTATAGTGTTTTCATATAAGATGGGTCATTAATGTATATATGTGACTAAAAGGATGAATGGTTCCATCATTACTGATTATATACATGTAGCTATATGATGCATATAAAACCGAAAAGCAACCGAGATTTAGGTTACCGACTTTTCAGTAAGCAACTACAAGTCGGTTCGCTTTTTGGTGTTACCGAAATGTTCAGTTCGGTTATCGAACCGAAACCAGCCCTGATGGAAAGTACACAATTGTACAATGTTTGTATACAAATAGAATACAGATATATGTGTACACCAAACAACAACTAAAAGTTTGAGTTAAAGATCCAATTTTACAGGATCATTTTCGTATATCAACTTTTCTTTAGTAGTTTACAGTAACTAAAGACCCCTCCCTCATTTATTGTTATATCGACCAACGAAATAATCGATAAATGTGACCGACTAACAATTAATGGACATAAAAGTCCTCATGCAGTAGGAACTTTGCAGCAGATATTGAGGATATCATCCAACGGCGCATGGTCACCGGTTCCTTCGTCTTTTCTTGCATATAATAATTGCTTTCCTTTAAACACAAACATTCCTCCCTAATAAAGTGAGAGCCAATATTACTTTCATATGTTTAGCAAATATAAACAATTTCATGGTAAAAGAACAGAAAAGAAAAAAAAAAGGAAAAAAAAAAAAAGAGAAAATCAAAACCTGTTGCAGGACGCTACTTCTGTCATCTGGAGTGGCTCTAATAGTGTAGTTCTTCATGGCCTTTTTCAGGTCCTCAAATCGTGAAAACACTTTGACCTGTGTGATTATAAATAATAATGTCGAATGTTGTGCAAAAAACTTCGAAAAGTTAAATAGAGCTTTACATTTGATAAAACAGATCATGCCGATTATTTTCAAGGTTGAGAAAAGTGCATACGCTGGCTGGGTTGAAAAATGTACGGCCAAGTCCGTAATACAAGCCCAGAACATCATAGGCCTGAAAAATGAAGAGTTGGTATTATCACTTATCTAAGGTCTGCAAAACAAGACGATATGAATACAATTCAGAATGTAAAAGTTACCTTACGATCCGGGTCGCAGTAGAGGGAATCCAAAGGAAATGGCAACTGTTGATACAAAATAACCATATTAGATATTAGTTACTCTAGGTATTATTAAACCACTATCACATGCCATTTTTAAGCATCCAAGGGATTTAAGGTTGAAGGATGATATTATAGGCGAGGATTGCGTTAAGTTTCGAAAGATAGCACTTCATTCAATTTTGACAACAGATGATAATTTCAATACCAAAGTGATTGCTATAATAACAATGCTATTTCAATGATCACAAATTCACAATGCTAAAATAACTGCTATTCCTTGCAACTCAAGTGACAAGAAAATATTCGTTCTCATACATAGTTAGATTCCTAGGGGGAGAAAAAAGAGAA